CAGTTTTTTACGTCGCGACCAGAAACCAAAAACATTTAATCTTTTACACGCCAGGGGTTGGAAATTTATCAAAAAAACCCACGTAGACGCTGGAAAAGTATACGGAATGTTAATATTAGAGCCGCTTATCATTGCGGTTTCTACAGGAATTACATGCGACTCTCTCATGCATACATATGGATACTCTATGCGAGGAAGTTTCTTTTTGTGAACTCAAACTCGTCCCAACTAATAATAATTATCGTTCCTGTCACTTTTGTACTAGCTGCTGTAGGTTCTCTTTAGCCCCACGGTACCCAGTGGGTGCTTAGGCATTAGGCCTTCGTGGTAGTTGGAGTATAAAAAAAAAATCCGTTAAAGAATAAAGACAGTGCAAGATTCAATTTATGTCAATAACACAACCATTGTGGTACACAATTCTACCTTATGCAGGATATTTTTAAGCTAACAAATAACACTCATCTTGCATTCATCTTCCATTGTGAACTTCATACAACAACTGCCCGAAAAATCTTATTTTCTCGCATTTCCACAAACGCAAAAGGTTTACTTGTTAGAAGTACCTAAAGCTTATAGTTTTCGAGATACTTGTTTTTAAAACTTGCAGTGCATTTTTTGTACCATGACCATTAAACCATTTTTATAACATAATAATCAAGTTGCTTTGGATAATATCTGAGTAGCATCGCTATGGTTTCTAATGTTTGTCATAATATTGCTTTAAACTTAATGAATGATTTTAACTTGACGATAAGTTGTTAAACATCATTTTCTATTCGTCATTGTCCATCAGAGCGGTCCGTGGGACCTTCGCTGTTTCTTATAGTATCGTAGATCAGTAGGTTTGTCAGGTCTGGTTGCCCAGATACCATGCGAAGTCAGGGAGAAATTAAGGAAGAAGAAAAAAAGGAAGGAAGGAGGAGGAGCAAAGAGGATGAAGTGTGCCGGTTAAAGGGATGCCTTGCTTTTGTTAACTGGTATTCGGTTATTTTAAATTAATCAAAAATTAATTTAGGAATTTGTGTGCCAAAAATCGTAATTTGGGTTGGACCTAGAATTCCACGATTAAATTTTAATCACAGTGCGAGCTTGCTCGACTGGTCTAGTCTACTGACTCACACAACAGAGTGTTGCTGTGCGATTCTGCTTGACTATAACGTAACTGCGCCTGATGTTTGATGTAGTCCCTTAGGCAAGGGATGTCGAGGTCCCTGTGAAGGGTCTCGCTGGAGACGTACCACGGCGCGTTAGTAAGCAAAACCTGCAGATTACGCATATGCGTTTTGGCAAGAAAACACCATGCTGCACCTGCGTATTAAACATTATGGAGTATACGTTTGATAAATAATCCGATTTGAATTTAATGTATGGATTGGCAAGATGTAATGCTTTAAAAACACGAAGATTGTACACTGACCCACACGTGCCTAATTCAAAGACTTTCCAACGATCAGCGGTTACGAGAAACTGGTAAGAAATGGTTATATCCTTATCTTGAGTAGTAAGAACCATTTGGTCTTCAGATAGTTTTGCTCAAAATATTGGGCGACATGAATGAATGAATCTTGAAATTAGAGGCATTCCGGCCACCATAAGGAGCCAGTGCATACTATAGGCCGCTTAAGCGGGCCCTTATGCGCCTCTACAATCGTTAGATCACAAGCCTCACCCTTTTAGCGAAGTTGAGAATCGCCTTGAGTCCAAGCTCCTTGTCGTCCTGAGGGTCCCAAGTAATGGACCCCAGTATAGTCTGCCTATAGTAGCTCAGAGCTTCACAGCGACACAAAACGTGCGCCGAGGTCTCTTCCTCTACCCCGCAGCGTTCACACAAGGGATCCTCAGCCACCCCCATGACGTGCAGGTGATGTTATACTCTAGCGTAAAATAAACTATGGACGATTTGGCATGTGGACTAGTTAATTTGAGTTTTATTACTTATATTACGTTTGATACCTGCTTCTCTGAGCGTTAAAGGCTGTTTTCCAGTACACTTATTGAAATGCTCGAGAAGGGTAGCCACATGAAGAACTATACTATTAGTTTTGTAAAATGATCCATATACGTATGTTAAGAGTAGTTTCTCTCAAAATGTCGGCTTTATGTACCGAGTTTTTTCAATGCGCATCACCCCTGATGACATTTAGAGCACACCAGAGCTCGACGGGCGGGTATTCACTTGTAATTGCCAAGAACAGCTAAACATTACGTCGCTTCTGGCTGCAGTGACCGACTTTCCTTGACTATGTGTCGTTGAAAGAAGTGATCTAGTTTTTGAAGAAGTTGGCGGTAGCGCTTGACAAGCCCGAAGGCTTTTCTGCAAGTGAGCTTACTTCTGGTAGTCTGTGCACTTTTCGATTCTAGCAATGACCTTTTCCGTTTTTAACCTTCCACACCGGACACAATTAATATATCGCGCGAGGGCTGTTTCCTCCAATTTTTTGTGGCAACTGTCCTTTTTTCGACGTAGCAGTTCATTGGGTTGAATTTAGTAACTTCGTGGACGACGATCTTGCTTCTGACGGTTTTGATGTCTTCGATATTTTAGTCTTTATCTATCTCAGTTCGTAATTGGCAGACGTTATTGAAAATTGACCTGGATTAACAATAAATATAGCGTGTTACCATTAATGCGATAAATTATGAGTGGGGCAAGTGAATTAAATGACAACACTGGCTTGGTGCTTGCTATCCAACGGAGACGAGTTTTTCCAACTACTTTTCCGAAGCACATCATCGCATTTATATTATCAACTATAGAGTCCGCATTCTTTTTATCGTCTTCAATGGATCCCGCAATATAGCCGCTTTGAATGTTGAAAGCAGCACTCGTGATCCGGATTAATCGTATCACATTATGTAGAACTCCACTTATCCTAGTACATACGTGAATATTACTACCGTTTTGATGATATCCTGCAATATCCGAGTGAACTCTTTTGAAAACGGACATCTATATGAAAGGCATCAATAGAAATGGATGTCGTATCGATTTGTACTGCTCTAACTAGTCTTCGGACATTTATCCTAGATACAGTTTGCGTCGACGCTTTTGAGGAGCACATGTCGTTGGTTTGGAAGAACACTGTCACAAGTGGAAAAGTATTAATTTTCAGGAGAGATGTTTTAAAATTTCAATGTGCTAGTTCTCATCATAATTTTTTTAAGGTAAAAAATAAGGGGTAAAATATTTTATAACCTTAAGGGTCCCGTTATAATCACTTAAATATAATAGAAAGACATTACCTGTCCTCACCTTTTTACCTGAAATTAGCATTTGTGACAGTTTTTCCCAAAATTTCTTTAACATTTTTGATTGAAACGTTTGACACAAAATAAAACAATGGAGTAATTTATGGTCGAAAATACAGTTTTATTTATTTAAATTTACAGAAATAAACAAATAAAAATATTTAAAGAACAGCACAGAAAATATGTAGGTAGAAAGTCTATAATCTATCATAAAAATCGAAATAGTACATTGGGACCACTCGTTTGTCAGGTTTTTTATTAAACAATGATAATAATGATTTTTTTTTAGTTTCTGTAATACCGACTTTTGCCTTGTAAGCATTTTTTAACTTCACCGAAGAGAAATCTGGTTTTTGGCGCCTCAAATGTAAAATGTTGACTTGTGAATACTCCTTTTCATTGTAAGAGGTTTTGTAGAATAGCACTCCCGGGCACTCTTTCTTTACCATAAACATTTTTAAGTCGGTGATTTTAACGGTTTCACCCTCTTCATTTTTGAAATTAGGTTTCATGCCGAGCTGAGAAGAAAGATCATTCAGGTCAAGGATATCTTTGTGACACATTTCATTAACAGAAAATGGTTTCCCAGTTTTTTTTGCCTGTCCGATTATTGTTGCGTACTGCTCAGGCACATAGATGGACCCAGATTTGCGAATTTTGGCAACTGCTTTTTCAATAATGGCATGTACATTATCGCCCTCATTTTGCGTGTGCCCAGCGATAAAAAATTTGTGAGTTATAGATTGTACAGACTTTAAATTTGAAACTGCATAAGTGTATAAAGACATGATAAATCGGTTCTTATTTTGTCCCGCACAATTGTCACTGTAAAAAATTATATCTAAAACTTTTGATTTGTCGTCCGAGTTTGAAACGTTTTCTTGCAAATTTCGTAAATAATTCCACACGCATGAACCTATTTCATCAGCACCCCTTTTGGCTTCTGCCTCTTGCCAGAGATAACAATATGCTTGATTTGTTTGCAATTCAAACATAGTTAGATTGAAGACATTAAGTTTTGACACATAATAGAAACTTGAGGCGTTACCGATTGGGCATGGTAATATCGCTTGGAGGTCGTACACAGCGACTACTTTATCTGAAACTTCATCGGCTTGCTTTTCTGATCGAGATAATTCTTTCTCTTTCAGATGAGTGTCGTATTTATTTTTCATGTGGGTTTTTTCCTCCTGGTTGGCATTTGTGTACGCAAGACATAATTCACATGCATCCTTCTTAGGAATAAAAAATGCTATGTTGAACTGTTGATTGAAAATAGTATAATACATTGAGTAGTTTGCGTAAGGCTTATTATCTTCTTGACAGATATTTTTGTAATCCCTGTATAAATCTCTCACAGTCTTACCACCTTCAATATACTCCTTTTTAGTTTGCGACCTACAATAATGACTGGCAATTCTTGGAATAGAATTGATGTGGGCTCTAATATCTTCTTTTATGCCATTGGAAATTGAATAGTGGTTGGTGTGTTTTCCTCTCATTTCTTGTTTAAGAATTCCTTTAGTCATCGAATCTTGTTTTTCTGTAACCGTTCGAATAACTCTACTGCTAATACCTAACGTGGACATAAAAAATTGTTTGCAGATTCGAATATTTTGTCCATCAAGGTCGAAGAAGAAACTAGAATTTAGACGTCTACTATTTTCGCCTGTCTGATATCTATATTTTGGCTTAATAGTAAGCATTCGGCCTGCTATAAATCCACGTTGTTGCAGGACATCTCCTAATTGCCAATATTCTTCAAAAATTTTTTGCCTCTGATCTTGTGAGATTTTGGTGGAACACTTTAAGCGGCATTTTACCCCACAGGGCACGGACATCTTTCTTTCTTCTCACTTTACTTTCATCTGTTCGATACTTCCATCACTTTTCTTGATTTTTCTAATGGATTCATAACTTTTACCTGTGTTCCTAAGACGTTTCGCTTTATTCTTTTGCCATTCATCTGGGACTCTTTTTCGTTTTTTAGTTTGCTTCTCTGTTTCAGAAGGATAGTGCACCGAACGACGTATTGGTAAAGCTACATTTTGAGGTATACCATCTACTTCGGATTCACTGGAAGACAATATGTTTTCTGGTTCAAAATCAGGATCTTCTTCTGAAGCACCAGAACCAAAAGGTTCTTCTTCAGAACTGGTTGGGTCCGAATCGCTTGAGGACCTACTACTTGAATTGTTATCTGTTTGAATTGCAGGTTCAACAGAAAATACTTTAGAAGAAGTGGCTTCTGTAACAATAAATTTTGTGTTAGAGGAACATTTTTTTAACTAGCTATGACTACCTAAATCACCTTCTTCTATTAGCTCACTGCTAGGACCATTACTGCTAGGGAATTCTTCATATTCATCCGCTCTAAGTAAGCCCTGAGATCGAGTTCTATTTATTAATGTAACACCTACAATATCTTCTGAACTCTCATCAAAGATGATACCAGGAATGATTGTCGTTTGGGAGATAACGTTTTGGCTTGGCAGATCGATCTGATTTACAGACTCTATATTATTCTTATCTTCGGTTGCATTTTTGGCTTCTTTTAAACTATTGCGGATATTATTACTTTCAATCATGTTTAGGGACTCTAAACTTATATGAACATTTATTTGTGTTTATTTTTATTAACAATAGAAAAACAAACCTTTATTGACCGTGACGCTATTAACAGCTTCCTCTGCAGTACTGCTGGTATTGCCAATATTATTGTGCTGCGAAATTTTCCAACTATCCTGCGCACCATTCTCTTTCTTCTCTACTCTTGCTTTGGTTTTTGCTAACTTTAATATAAGTTTCGCTCGCTGGGAACTCATTGTATATAGACTGAAGTAACAAATACGTACATTTCAGAAAATTGCACAAACAACTTCGAAAATTTTAAATTATTTTTAGGAATATTGTTCCAAGTAAATAAAAACAATGAATCATTAGTAGATTTTAAGTAGAAAAATGTCACATATCAAAATAGTACTCAAACTAATAAAATAACTTTTGACATTGTCATGATTATTTTGAAGAATACCGTTCTAAGTCAAAAATGACGATATTGCACATAATATTCCAACACAAGTCGAAATGTGACTGTGTTGCACATAATAACTCATTTTAAAAGCACATATCCTATGAGGAATACTTACCTAAATCGAAATGTGACTGTCTTGCATAAAATATTAAATACGAAATACCAAAAATACGTTTCTTTTTCACTTGTGACACTATTCTCGAAAACACGCGATGTGACTTCCACAACAACTGAGACGCAATTAATAATGTGCCGCTATTCCATACAAATAAATGCACGAGTTACACAAAGTCAAACTGTCATAAGTCGCCATCTAGCGTTAACTACCCGAGTGCAACTTGTGACTATTTTTCCCATAATAAAGTTTGCCTTTTTGAGTTGGTTAGCGGGTCAAACTAAAATATGTCAATTTTTTAGTTGTGCCATTCTTCTTCCAAACCAACGATGTAATCATCTAAATGATTCGTTGACATGCTTGATCCATATTCGATGTCATAAAATGAATAAGTATTTATTATAGTGTTTGGCCTACGAAATATATCGACTTCAGTTGTTAAAAGCGTAAGATAAGATAAGTCTAATTTAAAAAAATAATTTTTTTTATTTGCAATTTGAAAAGGTGACATCACACAAATTGTGAACAAAGAAATGCCATCCGTCACTGGTGGACTAACGTTGTCTCCTTTAAGTATTTCTAACAAATTCTTAATCAACGTAGGAAATTATCGTTTTCTTGTACTATAAAAAAAAAAATCATTGTCGTTGGATCCGTAAAAGCTGCAAGTAGAAATTTGATAAACATTGACATATGGATTTTTTGTCATTTCGTTGCACTCATTCTATATTCCTGCTCTGCTGAGCTGGCGAAGTTCAAGGCATCTATGTAAGTTCAATAGTATAAGTAAGTATAATAGTAGACATGAAAAATAATAAATAATATATTTACATAGACTTTCTTTTTAAAAGGTCATTCAAAATTAAGCTCATGCGTTATAATCTAGGAACAATTTTGTCTAATATGACAAATTAGTCTTCGCGCAAATAAATTTCAGTCACCGTCGATAAAGCTTCAGGATCCCTCTAAGGAAGTCTTAACCATATGTATATTCCTGGGACGTTAATCGTTTTTCTGGGGTCTTTATCGATATGTTTTTGCATTCTCGGACGATACAATAACGATAATTATTAGAAGTCATGCGAATATTCTTAAAAGTTTGAGATGTTATGCTGCTGTCAGCTGCTGCAGTTTACAAAAGGTATGACGTCAGAACACATTACTTTATGACTAGGAAAAATTCATATTACCAAATTCAAGTTTTATGGTTTTTCAGGTTTTTAAAAATGTAGTATCGATATTTTGGTCTAATAAAATGAATATCAATGATACTTGTATATAAGACCTACTTAACAAGTGTTAACTAGCCCATTATGAAACATGGTGAATGAGGTAGTTCAAACACTTCACAATTGTGAAAATTAGCGGATGTGCCTCATCGACATAACATTTGTCAAAAATGGTAATTGTAATAAAAGAATCCAAAACATATAGTAAAGACATGTCTGTTAAATGTGGTGTACCACAGGCTATAATTTTGGGTCCTCTTTTATTCAATATTTATTTAAACGATATATTCAAAATTAATAGTACTGGTAAAATAGTCAGTTTTGCGGACGACACTGCTATACTAGGTAAGGATTGGAACGACTTAAAAGATGTTATCCAAAATGACTTTTACAAAATTATTCAGTGGTTTAATAACCGAAAATTAACAATTAACTTTACTAAAACTCATTTTTTACCATTTTCATCACTATCTAATCATCTACCAAAATATAACCACCTTCGCATTAAGGTAAATGATAAAAATCTAAAATAATAGAGTTAATGATACAAAATATTTAGAAATTTATCTAGATCCCCACTTGAGATGGGATGTACATATTTCTTACATACTGAAGAAAATCAGATTCATAGCATATAAAATAAAATTTCTAATCGGTATATTAACTGAATATTATCTACGATTAAGTATGGGGTGTTGCATGCACGACATACCTTAACGATTTAGATGTGCTTCAAAGAACAATTTTAAAATCAATGTTTGGCAAATCTAAATTATACCCTTTTTGGCCAAAGCTCAAGCCTCGGTAACACTACTACTAGTACTTACTTAGAAGAGGCTACTAAAATCATCATTATCATTATGCTTCCTATGAAGTTTGCTTTGACGTAATCAATTTTGGTCGAAGTAAGAGTTGCGTCTAGAAGGTGAGCTCAACTTTTACGAACTGTCGTAAGAAGATTATCGCGTTTACAGCCTCTGACCTTTGTTAGTTGTTCAGCCCCAGCTCTACCGATGGACTAAAATAGCTGAACCGCTTAAACTTCCTCCCACCTAAATTTCATCGATGCAAATATTCAAGCGGAAACAAGCCGCTTTCCGGGGTCCTCGATTAATATCTGCTTCAGCGGAATACACGGAACTAATATCGCCTTTTGGGGTCAACAATGCAAACGTTGCTTCTGCTCAAACCCACGTACGCTCGGATGGCCCTCCATACATTCGTAATATCCAGCCACTCAAAATACATATCTGTTTTTCCAATACGTGATACTCTCAACTCACCTTAGAAGATATTTGTATGTATCTCGGAAACAAAACGTTCGTGAATATTTTAAGCAATGAAAATCGAAACAGCGTAACCATTGTAACAGATACACATAGCTTTGTGGAATCACGAAACAAGAGAAGTATTTTACCGAATATAGTAGATATGATGTTCTTGTTTTTTACTTTCACCTATCAGTTTGAATTTTCCCATCGAAGTGGACATATGATGACGCTACCGCTGTTCTCTCTTATCGCAGACATCAATGTCTGATTGCTGCCAGGAGTAATTTTTCTGAACCAGGATGTTGGTGGTAGGTGGTTCTATATGATAATCATGACATAATCCAATACAGCTATGAGAATAATTGCTACACAGGACACAGCGTAAGTTGTGTCTAATGACAAGTAACTTCAATGCAGCTAGGTTGTGGTTACATTTTTATAAATGTACCCACTGTGGTAAGGCCAAACACAAAGTACAAACATACAGCGATTTCTGCAAATGAGTTAATAATTTTTCAAATTGTCACCACTTTCCAAAACCTTCTCTGAATAGTATTAACTAGGAAATGTGACGGGAAATGAAAGAAGCATTTGGTAAATATCAGAATCGAGATATAGTATATAACTTCAAACGTAGCTTATTTAATTTAGAAGACGATCTAAGTTCAGGCCGGCCAGAGAAAGTCGTCACCCACAAGAACGTAGAACGTGCCGAGAAGCGATAATGAAAGAAGTGAATCACATATAGGCATTTAGCAGAAGCCCTGAACATTTCGAAACGAATTATTGGGCATATTATATGCGATGAGTTAGGAAACTTTGTTTTCGCTTGGGCACCCTCACACATCAACTAATGTCCACAGCATAATACAGGTAAGAGTAATTTGGTACGAAAAATGCTAAAAATATTTGAAACTGGACAAAATATTACTGTAGATTCAATCGTACGAGGTGACGAAAGCAGGCTATATCTTTTTGAAGCTCCAATCCAAGCAGGATCCGGCTATTTGAAAATGAGAGTCTGCCGATTCAAGTCAAGGACTGCAATTGATTGGAAAACGGATGGCGTTCTGGCAAATATTGTGCCAAAGGGCAATCACATCCAAGTGGCATGTTAAAGACTGACTATCACAACTATTTGCAGAATAACTCAACAGACTCTAGAATAATCTAGAATCCAAGTATTCGATCATTCATACTGTAGCCCTGACCTGATGCCATGCGATTTTGACTTTTCTCCAGCTGCGAAGTCACAGCGAAAGATCGGCCGCGTCTCGCGCCGGTAAATATTTTTCCAAATTTTAATTTATAGGTGCGTAAAATTGTCTGGGATGGAAGCAAATAAGTGTACTGCCGCCAAAAAATGAGGTATGCCCTGCTCACCCCGATAAACCTACGATTTTCAACCCCTACAAAAATGTTTTTTAAAATGATCAGGAACCTCTGAAAAATCAAAAAACGAAGGGCCAAAAACGAAGCATTATTTATTTCGTTTTTGGCCCTACACGCAGCCACCACTAGGTCGATTTTCAAATACTACAAAGGTCTTTCGTCTTTGGGATAGCAACTATCTCGAGTAAAAATTTTATTAAAATCTAAAGGTACCTTCCAAGTTATAGACGGGTCAAGGATTAGCGGACAGACTGAACGACAGTTCGAGATGTTGTACATGTCATATAACGCCCAAAAACATAAGATCTCATTTACGAAAATTTTTACTATTACAATACTTCCTCGCTAGTGGGCTTGCGGGTTAAAAAGCGTAGGCTTGCATCTGAGATGAGGTAGACGATGCTGCAGAGTGCTGACTTTATGTAGAAGGAGCAATGGGAACACTGGTTCCGTGATTGGTTCTTGTATATTTTAGATATGATAGAAATTCAATTAGCTGACCATTAACAAAAGTCTTAGTGCTATTTCGTGTTTTAAAGTGAGATTGTTCTGATCAACTTACAACTGAATACCGATTAGAGCCATTGTTGGATGAAATAAAAAAATTTAAGCGACTTGCGTCATATTTGTTCAATATTTTGTCCTCGAATACATGTTAAATAAAATATTCAATTATTCATTTCTCTTATTTTATCAGTGGGCTGCCCCCCTAGTTGGTCTCTGTTTTGCATATTACGGTTTTGCGGTGATGAGCAGTTCCGATCTAGTTTCTAGTGGGCCTTAC